ATCTAATCTATATATCTATCTTATCTATCTAATCTATCTTATCTATCTATCTATCTATCTATCTATCTATCTATCTATCTATCTATCTATCTAATCCATCCATCCATCCATCCATCCATCCATCCATCCATCCATCCATCTCCCCTTTTGTTTAGCATTTTACCTACTTTCCATTCGCTTTTCATTTGCAATTTCCTCTTCTTTACCTTTATAATTCCTATAACCTCTAATATTTGCACGTATTAATATTCTACTTTCATTCGTTGTTCTCTAACCACCGATACCATTCGTCCCATACTGTGTAGCATTCTTTTTCTTCTTCATCTTGCAGTTTGAGAGTTGATTTAACCATTTCCGCGCAGTACCATTGTTTTCTTTTAATTATCGTCTTTTCGGAGGGTATGCCGTCTGTTTCCCCAGATTTGGGCGCATGCTATTCTTGCGGCTGCCAGTATATGAATTATGATATAATTGATTTCTTTTGTAAACGTTCCTCTGATTATCCCTAGCAAAAAACATCTCCGGTTTAAATTGGATTTGAAGGCCTGCAACCAAATTCTTATTTTACTCCAATGTTTCCTCGCTTCCCAATTTGTTTGTTTTTTTAACCTGGGTAATTTTCAAGAGGCATGGACTTCAACTCCCAGAATTCCCTGCCCCAGAGTACAGCTGTGGAGGTGCCTTGAGTTGCTCTGGAAGTGGCAGGCTTCACAGCCAGATGTGCAACGGCTGCCTCAGCCGGCACTCTGCACGTTCCCCAGAAAACCTTTAGGCCTGGCTTCAGATTTTGAAGCTCTCTCCTATCAATCTTGCACCCTGAAATTGCTTTAAGTCCGTGATGGCGACCCTATAGCACGCGTGCCCGAAGTGCCACGCGGAGGCATGTTGCCTGGCGTGTGCGGCGTCTCCCGTTCCTCTTCCGGGTTTCTGGCATGCATGCCCGCACAACGATCAGCCAGCCTTCATGCGAGCGGCCGTGCCAGAAACTGGAAGAGCCGGCCTTCCGTTTCCGGGCATGCTGATGTGTGCCGGCCAGCTGATCATCGCGAGCGCATGTGCGCCAGTGACCGGGAGTGTAGCTGGCCCGCCGGACACCAGAAGTTCATTTTCCAGCCCGCGCATGGCCCCTCGGCAGCTCCTCTACTTTGTGGCACGCACACACGCAGGGCACTTGGTGCCGAAAAGGTTCTCCATCCCTGCTTTAGGTGGTCGATGCAGGGGTAAATTCAGCAATAAGGGGAACTGGGATTGGTGGGGATGGAGTGGGAGACCTTTTCTGGCCAACCCTAGAAGCGTTTTCTTGCCCTTCTAGCAAAAAATAAATGTGTCCCCCCCCTTTCTTTTTATTTGTCTTCCTTTCAGGAAACTGTTGCTGAGAAAGGTAGCAAAACCTGTTCTTCTTGCACTCAAGGGAAGAGCGCATCTCCCCTAGAAGCCATTCTCTAGAGAACAATGTTTCCCGCCCCCCTCAAACGTGGCTGCTTCTTAAGACGGGTGGACTTCAACTCCCAGAATTCCCCCAGCCATCCCTCAAACCAGAATTCTGGGGAGTTGAAGTCCACCCGTGTTAAAAAGCGTCCATGTTTGAGAGAAACGCTGCCCTTGGGTTTTGGACGGTCTCTGGGTTTGCTTCGACCAGAGAAGTTGCTGCTCCGGAGCCCCGCCAGGACAAGGAACGACGGCCGCAGATGTAAACAAGGCGTCCCTCTCTTCCGTCGGCCTTGTTTGTGCATCCTCTCCTGCCACCATCACCACCCCGGACTGAAATCCGTGCCCTTATCGGCGTGCGTGTGTTCTCCGGACATTTTTGTGCAGCGTGGATTCCGAGCTGGGTGTCCCCGTCTCGTGGAGGGACGAAGACGATGGCCGACACGACGTGAGGTTTCCAACCGTCTCCTTTTTAGTGACGATTTGCAAAGGGGAAAAAAACCGAGATTCAGCCGGTTGGGGTGGGAGGGGACGGAGGGTTGAAATTTGTTTCTTTATTTATACTAACTTATTTGGGAAAGAGTTGGGGAGGGTCTTGGGACGATGTCTTGGAAAAAGCTGAGATATTCCAGACTTTGTTGGGAGATATATATATATACCTCCCAACAAAATATATATAAAAACCCCTTTTCCTAATAAAAATAATTCTAGCAAATTGAAACCAGGTGCTACTGGGTCCTTTTTCTTGTTCTATTTTTCCCTCATCCCAACATTTCCTCCTCTCTTTATAGAATTTCAGAGTTGGAAGGGAACCTTGAAGGTCTTCTAGTCCAACCCCCTGCTCAAGTAAGAGACCCTGTACCCGTGATGGCGAATCTATGGCACACATGCCGCAGGTGGCATGCCACACCCTTCTCTGCTGGCACGCCAGCCGTCTCCCCAGTCTCTGCTGTACATGTGGGGGGGGGGGAAGGTGCATGTGCAAGGGGGGGGTGCGTTCGTGTTGGATTTTGGGGGCTGGAAGGCCTCCTGCACCATCCTGGAAACTTCCCAACTTCCACCCAACTTCCCACGGGAAGCCCTTGAGAGCTGCAGAGGAAGCCAGGGGGAAGACTTATGCTGGAACACAGAGGCCTCGATCCAGACCCCTACTCTGCCCCCCCAACTTCCTTTCTTTATTGCGCTCCTCTTTCCCGTCCTTCCCTCCCTTCTTTCCCATGCTCTTTTCCTTCCTTCTTCCCTTCCCCCTTTTTCGTGCTCTTTACCTTCCTTCCTCTGTTATTTTCTTCTTTCCTTTTTATCGTACTCCTCTTTACCTTCCTTCCTCCCCTCCCTCCACCTGTCCCTGTTCCTTCCTTCCTTTTCCCCCTGCTTTCCCGTGCTCCTCCCTCCCTCCTTCCTCTTTATCATGCTCTCTAGAAGGCTGCAGGCCTGACGCCTTCCCTCCATCCCTCCCTTCCCCCTTTCTCATGCTCCTTTTTTCCTTCCTTCCTTCCTTTTTATCATGCTCTCTAGAAGGCTGCAGGCCTGACACCCTTCCTTCCTTCCTTCCCGCCATCCTTCCCCCTTTCCCATGCTTTTTTCCTTCCTTCCTTCCTTCCTTCCTTCCTTCCTTCCTTCCTTCCTTCCTTCCTTCCTTCCTTCCTCTTTATTGCGCTCTTTAGAAGGCTGCAG